ACCCCATCAAGCAGGTATCTCCCAGCTTAGACCTCAAAGATGACCCGAATGGAAATTACAATTAACTGGAAGGCAAAAGCAAGGGAGATAATTATTATAGAGGAGTAGATATAGATACTTAATATAATTAACTAACCTGGGGGAACTAATACAATTAAGCTTAACTTTCAGACCAAAATCAAGCGGATTTATTTAACACAGACTTGAACGTGCACGAATTTATCACTGTCTATCACTGAGGATAATTAGTTTAATGGACACGTAAAAGTATTATTGCAATACTGACATTGGTACTTATTTGTATTTCAGTACTTTGGGATTTATTTTCACCAGTATGAACTATTTAATGGCTTCAACCCCCCTTAATGCTACATCTCGGTTAACACGTACACCGGAAGGCACTTAATGACATCACAATATTGAGATCTCTCTCATCCTTCACTGCTAAAGATCACATTCACTTTTAAAAATCTCCGACTTACGGGCTATTCATGCCCGAGCCACCACCTAACTAACTACTAAGATGATCTAAGATGTTACTAACATCTTAGATCTAGCCTAAGACGACAGACAGTGCTCAACTGTTTCTGTCTCAGCCGAAAATTGAATTCATGAGCTGCGAATCCCGAAGGCTCTCTACTTGGTCGTATGTGTGTGTACTCACCTAGTTGTACTCACCTAGTTGTGCTTGCGGGGGTTGAGCTCTGGCTCTTTGGTCCCGCCTCTCAACCGTCAATCAACTGGTGTACAGGTTCCTGAGCCTATCGGGCTCTGTCATATCTACACTTGAAACTGTGTATGGAGTCAGCCTCCACCACATCACTTCCTAATGCATTCCATTTGTCAACCACTCTGACACTAAAAAAGTTCTTTCTAATATCTCTGAGGCTCATTTGGGCACTCAGTTTCCACCTGTGTCCCCTTGTGCGTGTGCCCCTTGTGTTAAACAGCCTGTCTTTATCAAACCTGTCGATTCCCTTGAGAATCTTGAATGTGGTGATCATGTCCCCCCTAACTCTTCTGTCTTCCAACGAAGTGAGGTTCAATTCCCGTAGTCTCTCCTCGCAGCTCATACCTCTCAGCTCGGGTACTAGTCTGGTGGCAAACCTTTGAACCTTTTCCAGTTTAGTCTTATCCTTGACTAGATATGGACTCCATGCTGGAGCTGCATACTCCAGGATTGGTCTGACATATGTGGTATATAATGTTCTGAAAGATTCCTTACACAAGTTTCTAAAGGCCGTTCTTATGTTAGCCAACCTGGCATATGCCGCTGATGTTATCCTCTTGATATGAGCTTCAGGGGACAGGTCTGGCGTGATATCAACCCCCAGGTCTTTCTCTCTCTCCGACTCTTGCAGTATTTCATCTCCCAAGTGATACCTTGTATCTGGTCTCCTGCTCCTGTGTGTGTGTGTGTGTGTGTGTCTATGATTAGACACAAAATTAATTATAAATATTAATACTAAAAATAATTCATGTGCACCTTGCTCAGCACTTCTTGAAACACACAGGCGAATCATCCACGCCTTCCCCACACTAATAGTTATGGTATGGCGCTTGATAACTTTTAGAGCCAAGGCATAGATCACAGAACGTGATCTTATACTTCCAAGATAACATAGTACCATCCCTCTCAATGCAATCTTCTCTACACCTCACTGTCTAAAATTACAATATCTACTTACAATGTAGATATGATAGAGCCATAGAGCCTAATAGGCTCAGGAATCTGTAAACCAGTTGATTAGCAATTGAGAGGCGGGTCCAACGAGCCGAAGCTCAACACCCAGGAAGCACAACTAGGGCGAATACTGAAGCTCTATTATGGAAGTTTTGACAATCGCTGGCTGAGAGGTCAGAGAACTGGACTGCTATTTACAGAGTTACAGAGTACTTACAGAGTTCAGCATACCTCAGCCCGGGAGGGCGAAAGTCAGTCAATATGGGACATTCTACAGCATAATGTTCAAGGGACTCCATGTTTTCTCTTTCACAAAGTTGACACATTGTGTATTGTGACACTTTCACAAAGTTGACACATTGTGTATTGTGACACTTTCACAAAGTTGACACATGATGTATTGGACACTTTCACAAAGTTGACACATGGTGTATTCGACATTTTTACAAAGTTGACACATTGTGTATTGTGACGACACTTTCACAAAGTTCACACATAGTGTAAACGACACTTTCACAAAGTTGACACATGGTGTATTGGACACCTAAGTTTGGAGTTTAGTATCGCTTATCATCCCTTTCCTTTTCATTTCCTCCCCTCATTACCGGACCCACTCTCCAACTATCCCCTAGCCCACCAGCGCCAGTCCCATAACAATCATCTCCCGCCCTTATCATTAGTCATCCCTCAGTCCCAGCATCCCCTCCCATCCCCTCCCATCTCCAGCATCTTTCTCATCATCTCCTCCTCTCCCTCTCCCTCTCTCCCATTTTACAGAATATTCTGTTGATCGTTTTTTCTTTTTCTTGCATGTTTATTCTTGAATATTTCCATCTTTGGGTGTTCTCTTGTCTTTGTTTCTCACCTCCGTTTTCTATTTTCTATTCTATTTCTTTCTATTTCTATTTCTTAGCTTTCTATTTCTATTTCTTAGTTTTCTATTCTATTGATTCCTGTTCTTTCTTTCTTTTTCATTTATTCTCCTTTCATCTCCCTACGTCACCACGACCCTCTCTCTCTTACTTGAGCCATCCTCCCTTCTTTATCCTATCCTCCTCCTCTTCTCCTTCAATCCTTCCACCTCTCTCCTCCTTCGCTCAGCTTCCAGTATTTTCATCATCAATTTCTCGCTTATCTCCCGCAGTTATCTCTGTGTTTCTCCTATGTCTTTTCCACTCACTGCTTTTCCCCCTTCTTTATCTCTCTCTTTCTTCTCCCCTCTGTCCCTTATGTTGTAGTTTATCTTAGTTCTCTTTCTGTTACATTTCTCTACATTTGTTAGCTTCAGGATACGTTCTTGCCTTTTGTCCTCAGTCTTGCTTCGTGTGTCCTCAGTCTTGTCTTGTGTGTCCACAGTCTTGTGTCGTGTGTCCTCAGTCTTGTCTTGTGTGTCCACAGTCTTGTGTCGTGTGTCCTCAGTCTTGTCTCGTGTGTCCTCAGTCTTGTCTCGTGTGTCCTCAGTCTTGTCTCGTGTGTCCTCAGTCTTGTCTCGTGTGTCCTCAGTCTTGTCTTGTGTGTCCACAGTCTTGTCTTGTGTGTCCTCAGTCTTGTCTTGTGTGTCCACAGTCTTGTCTTGTGTGTCCTCAGTCTTGTGTCGTGTGTCCTCAGTCTTGTGTCGTGTGTCCTCAGTCTTGTGTCGTGTGTCCTCAGTCTTGTGTCGTGTGTCCTCAGTCTTGCTTCGTGTGTCCTCAGTCTTGCTTCGTGTGTCCTCAGTCTTGCTTCGTGTGTCCTCAGTCTTGCTTCGTGTGTCCTCAGTCTTGCTTCGTGTGTCCTCAGTCTTGCTTCGTGTGTCCTCAGTCTTGCTTCGTGTGTCCTCAGTCTTGTGTCGTGTGTCCTCAGTCTTGTGTCGTGTGTCCTCAGTCTTGTGTCGTGTGTCCTCAGTCTTGCCTCGTGTGTCCTCAGTCTTGCCTCGTGTGTCCTCAGTCTTGCCTCGTGTGTCCTCAGTCTTGCCTCGTGTGTCCTCAGTCTTGCCTCGTGTGTCCTCAGTCTTGCCTCGTGTGTCCTCAGTCTTGCCTCGTGTGTCCTCAGTCTTGTCTTGTGTGTCCACAGTCTTGTCTTGTGTGTCCTCAGTCTTGTGTCGTGTGTCCTCAGTCTTGTGTCGTGTGTCCTCAGTCTTGTGTCGTGTGTCCTCAGTCTTGTGTCGTGTGTCCTCAGTCTTGCTTCGTGTGTCCTCAGTCTTGCTTCGTGTGTCCTCAGTCTTGCTTCGTGTGTCCTCAGTCTTGCTTCGTGTGTCCTCAGTCTTGCTTCGTGTGTCCTCAGTCTTGCTTCGTGTGTCCTCAGTCTTGCTTCGTGTGTCCTCAGTCTTGTGTCGTGTGTCCTCAGTCTTGTGTCGTGTGTCCTCAGTCTTGTGTCGTGTGTCCTCAGTCTTGCCTCGTGTGTCCTCAGTCTTGCCTCGTGTGTCCTCAGTCTTGCCTCGTGTGTCCTCAGTCTTGCCTCGTGTGTCCTCAGTCTTGCCTCGTGTGTCCTCAGTCTTGCCTCGTGTGTCCTCAGTCTTGCCTCGTGTGTCCTCAGTCTTGTCTCGTGTGTCCTCAGTCTTGTCTCGTGTGTCGTCAGTCTTGTCTCGTGTGTCGTCAGTCTTGTCTCGTGTGTCGTCAGTCTTGTCTCGTGTGTCGTCAGTCTTGTCTCGTGTGTCGTCAGTCTTGTCTCGTGTGTCCTCAGTCTTGTCTCGTGTGTCCTCAGTCTTGTCTCGTGTGTCCTCAGTCTTGTCTCGTGTGTCCTCAGTCTTGTCTCGTGTGTCGTCAGTCTTGTCTCGTGTGTCGTCAGTCTTGTCTCGTGTGTCGTCAGTCTTGTCTCGTGTGTCGTCAGTCTTGTCTCGTGTGTCGTCAGTCTTGTCTCGTGTGTCGTCAGTCTTGTCTCGTGTGTCGTCAGTCTTGTCTCGTGTGTCGTCAGTCTTGTCTCGTGTGTCCTCAGTCTTGTCTCGTGTGTCCTCAGTCTTGTCTCGTGTGTCCTCAGTCTCGTCTCGTGTGTCCTCAGTCTTGTCTCGTGTGTCCTCAGTCTTGTCTCGTGTGTCCTCAGTCTTGTCTCGTGTGTCCTCAGTCTTGTCTCGTGTGTCCTCAGTCTTGCCTCGTGTGTCCTCAGTCTTGTCTCGTGTGTCCTCAGTCTTGTCTCGTGTGTCCTCAGTCTTGTCTCGTGTGTCCTCAGTCTTGTCTCGTGTGTCCTCAGTCTTGTCTCGTGTGTCCTCAGTCTTGCTCCGTGTGTCCTCAGTCTTGCTTCGTGTGTCCTCAGTCTTGCTCCGTGTGTCCTCAGTCTTGCCTCCCCTGAGTCGGCGTCCTTCATCTTCCATAACATTTATTCCAACATATTACTCGAATTTATTCCCAAGTCTTCCTCTCCCTCCCCCCCTCTCTCCTTCTCTCTCCCCTCCCTCTCCTTCCCTCTCCTTCCCTCTTCTCTCTTCCCTCTTCTCCCACGCTTTTCTTCTCCGTTCTTACTCCTTACATATATTTTTGTCTATTCCAGTACCTGAAGTGTGAGAAACTTTACTCACCACCTTACTCATGCCTTCTCTTACTCACTCCTGTGCCTCACATCATCAATCTCCCTCATCTCTCCTTCCCTCTCTCACCTCCCCTCACACCCCCCCCCCCCTCCTCCTCCCTGTGAATATGGAAATGAGGTTTTCCTCAGACTTTTTTTCAATTTCACTTTCATACAGGAGACAAGTGTGTATCGCGAGGCATGACACAAGGTCGGGAATCTCTCTGTCTGGGAGTATGATTCTCGCTCTTACCGGCTTACCTCCAAAGACCTGGCATTTTTCTTGCCAACTGAGTCTGAGGTCCTGCCTCACCTCCCTTGTGTGTGTGTGTGTGTGTGTGTGTGTGTTCGTGTGTGTTCGTGTGTGTTCGTGTGTGTTCGTGTGTGTTCGTGTGTGTTCGTGTGTGTGTGTGTGTGTGTATGTATGTGTGTGTGTATGTATGTATGTATGCATGTATGTATGCATGCTTGTGTGCGTGTGCGTGTGTGTGTGTGTGTGTGTGTTCGTGTGTGTGTGTGTGTGTGTGTATGTATGTATGCATGCTTTGTGTGTGTGTGTGTGTGTGTGTGTTCGTGTGTGTGTGTGTGTGTATGTATGTATGCATGCTTGTGTGCGTGTGCGTGTGTGTGTGTGTGTGTGTGACAGGCCTGCGGCTGATTGGATCTGGGCTTGACGGCTGACTAGACAGCGCTTCGCATTCGTAGTCCTGAGGTCCCGGGTTCGATTCCCGGTGGAGGCGGAAACAAATGAGCAGAGTTGCTTTCACGCTAATGCCCCTGTTCACCTAGCAGTAAATAGGTCCCTGGGAGTTAGACAGCTGCTACGGGCTGCTTCCTGGGGGTGTGTAACAAAAAGGAGGCCTGGTCGAGGACCGGGCCGCGGGGGACTCTAAGCCCCGAAATCATTTAAACATAACCTCAAGATTTCAAGATAGCCTGTGGCCGGCCTTGCCTGTAAGACTGCTTGCCTTGTAGCTTACAAACACACATACGCCCATCACAGCCTGGCTGATCCAGAAACCACCCACATGAAATTTCTCAACCTTTTTTTGCCTCGTTTCTATTTATTTACAATTCTTACATTAGGGAAAGTTTCTTGACGTATTTCTGTGGTCCATTTCTGTCTCCATTTTAAATCTGTCTCCTCGATTCTACTGTCATTTTAACCTGTGCTTCCCTGTCGTTTTCTGTTCCATTTTCTCTTTCTGGGACATTCTTTACAATCTGTCATCTTAGCAAAGGAACGAATATTGATGCGAGTTTTATATAATTTCTTCCAGAAGGGAAACGTCACTCATCTTGTGAGTGGTCATACCGCCATAGTGACAGTATTGGGCAGCGTCACTCATCCTGTGAGTGGACACACCGCCATAGTGACAGTATTGGGCAGTGTCACTCATCCTGGGAGTGGACACACCGCCATAGTGACAGTATTGGGCAGTGTCACTCATCCTGGGAGTGGACACACCGCCATAGTGACAGTATTGGGCAGCGCCACTCATCCTGTGAGTGAACACACCGCCATAGTGACAGTATTGGGCAGCGCCACTCATCCTGTGAGTGGACACACCGCCATAGTGACAGTATTGGGCAGCGTCACTCATCCTGTGAGTGGACACACCGCCATAGTGACAGTATTGGGCAGCGCCACTCATCTTGTGAGTGAACACACCGCCATAGTGACAGTATTGGGCAGCGCCACTCATCTTGTGAGTGGACACACCGCCATAGCAGCATGTACAACACTCCCCAATAGGAAGAAAACCCGCTGGGTTGTTCATCCTGTCACTTGTACCCAAAAGCAGACAGGAACTATATAACTATCTCCAGCAAACAGTTCACTGAACAAAAAGATTACCACTCAACAATCTACAAGATAACCACTTTTCACCCCCCAAGATATCAGGTTATCCTGCGGGTGGAAAGTGGGAGTAATCTTAGGAACAGAATCTATATTTGACAAAGAATGTTTTCCTAACTCAAACACTGAGAGATCAAAGACTTTGTCCGTCTCACCAGCCACAGATTCTGCAACTCCCCGGCATTGCTGTTGTTTCCGTCGGGAATCTCTATTGGTATTTGTATCCAAGACGCATTCTTGCGATTTCTCATTCTTGCGATTTCTCATTCTTGCGATTTCTCATTCTTGCGATTTCTCATTCTTGCGATTTCTCATTCTTGCGATTACGCATTCTTGCGAGTTCTCATTCTTGCGATTACGCATTCTTGCGAGTTCTCATTCTTGCGATTACTCATTCTTGCGATTACTCATTCTTGCGATTACTCATTCTTGCGATTACTCATTCTTGCGATTACGCATTCTTGCGATTACGCATTCTTGCGATTACGCATTCTTGCGATTACGCATTCTTGCGATTACTCATTCTCTCCCTCGACTACGTCTCTTTCATGCATTGTAATTGGGTTGCAAACTGCAGCTGCACTCAGCCAGGGTACAGATTTGATCTTGTATTCTCCTATCCTCCGTTACCGCGTCAGCGCTCGCTCGCTTGATGATAAATTTAACTTGTATTAGAGTTTTGGGAATGAAATATTCAGCGCCTTCAGCAGCCAGCAGATCTGCTTGTTTCCACAGTTTTCAACATGAATTTACATTTATCTGATATACCCGAGGACCAATAGTGACCTCGACGAGGACAGGAAGCCGGCGGATTGTCGAAGGTGTCTCCCCTTATTTGGTTTGATGATGTTTTTAAGGTATATTTTAAAGTTTTGGCCTTCGGCGGGTAGGTTATCTTGAGGTTATCTTGAGATGATTTCGGGGCTTTAGTGTCCCCGCGGCCCGGTCCTCGACCAAGCCTCCACCCCCAGGAAGCAGCCCGTGACAGCTGACTAACACCCAGGTACCTATTTTACTGCTAGGTAACAGGGGCATTCAGGGTGAAAGAAACTTTGCCCATTTGTTTCTGCCTCGTGCGGGAATCGAACCCGCGCCACAGAATTACGAGCCCTGCGCGCTATCCACCAGGCTACGAGGTCCCTTGTAGGGTAGGATGTTTCATTGGTTTATAACCCTGTGGGTGAGGAAATATCTCCTGTTCTCAGTCTTACACTGTGGCTTGTTGAGCTTTAAACCGTTGCTCCTTGTTTGTGTTACAGCTGACTACCGTTGATCATCCTGTTACAGCTTGATCACCATGATTGATTAGTGACTGTGACTGTTCCGCGCTCACAGGAACTTTTGTGGATTTCACAGTAACTTCTGTGGATTTCACAGGAACTTCTGTGGATTTCACAGGAACTTCTGTGGATTTGACAGGAACTTCTGTGGATTTGACAGGAACTTCTGTGGATTTCACAGGAACTTCTGTGGATTTCACAGGAACTTCTGTGGATTTCACAGGAACTTCTGTGGATTTCACAGGAACTTCTGTGGATTTCACAGTAACTTCTGTGGATTTCACAGGAACTTCTGTGGATTTCACAGGAACTTCTGTGGATTTCACAGGAACTTCTGTGGATTTCACAGGAACTTCAAATTTCTGCCAAATGTTTTTCTTAAGATTTCGAAGTGTGGTTTTTGTGTCAGTTAAGAACACTGCTTCTCGCTAGTTCTGTTAATGCCATAACTATGGCAGTTATGCCTGGGGTTGATGAGGCATAGTTCTCAAAACGGGCATTTTTATAGTTTCGTTCCTATATAATTTCTAATTACCGTGTAGTTGTTCCAGGCCTGACAATAAGAGGATTAACAGAGTCATTAGTGTAGATTTGGTCAAATTAATTTTATGCCTCTGTTATCTTTATTGAGTTTTGTTCAATTCTATTTGTTCAATTCTATTTGTTCAATTCTATTTGTTCAATTCTATTTGTTCAATTCTATTATTTTGGAAGTATCATTACAGATTTGGTCGTTTTTCAAGTCGTTTATTATATTCTTTCGTTGAAAAGTGAAACTATGATCATTCCTGGACATGGACCTCGTCTGAGCGGCCGGATAATAGATCATACATTCCTGCTGGATACATAAGATGTACAACTATATACATTATACACCGTGTATGAGTGGCCACTGAGTGCTCATTACCCAACCCGCCCTACTAATAGAACGTTGTATTTTGACGTATACTCTACCCATTAGGCCAAAAATTGTCGTACTATTAAATGGCAGTGGGTCGTGAAATTGACGTACTGTTCCGTTTTCTGTTTTGGGTCCTCTGGTAGGTTAGGATTAGGGCAATTTAGTACGACAGTTTCTTGACGTTGGGGCACCTTAGGAGGACGGGCTGGCTTATCCCCGTCGACATCAGCAAGAGAAACACAATAGAAAACACCACACTTGAAGTGACTTTGCAGGAGAACTAGTCTGGGGTATGGGCCGAACATAGGTTGGTTGGAGAAGTTTCAAGTTGAATGCTTTAAGAAATATTTGCTTTTTATAAAGACTTCCTCATGCAATTGTTATCAAGTCACGTGGGAAATATTTGGTGTGATCTGCTCTAAAGTATTTAGTGATCATAATAATAATATATTGAGACCCATCAAGTTGTTTCAAAGGCAAGTTTTGTAGATTGAGATCTACCTTGCAAGGTAGATTTCTTTGTCTTGTTGCCAATGATTTTTGTATTCTGTTCTTGTTTTTTGCTGCTCCAGGGGGTCTTATTGTTTTGCGTTTGTTTGTTTTGCTATTGGTTTGTTTCGTTGCTGTTGATTTCTTTGTTTAGTTGAAAAGCTGGAAAGTTAAAAGTGTGTGAGCCCTCGTGTAAGTCTCAGCTTCTAACACATGAAAAGAAATGTATACAAATATTTACTTTTATAAAACATATGTTGTTAAATATGACCGAAAAAGTAAGATTAATAATTCTAACACGAATTTTCTCTCTTTCTTATGTTTCTTTTTACTATTGATGGTAATTGAAAAATCAATTCTCCAAAATTCTTTTTAATTTTTATAAAACACTATAGAGGTTATCTTGAGATGATTTCAGGGCTTAGCGTCCCCGCGGCCCGGTCTTCGACCAGGCTTCCTTTTTGTTACTCCCTCCCCCCAGGAAGCAGTCCGTAGCAGCTGTCTAACTCCCTGGTACCTGTTGACTGCTAGGTGAACTCGAGCATTAGGGTGAAAGAAACTTTTAGCCCATTTGTCTCTGCCTCCACCCGGGATCGAACCCGGAACCTCAGGACTACGAATCCGAAGCGCTGTCCACTCAGCTGTCAGCCGCCCTTACATACAATTGCCCCAGTAATTACATTACTGTATAAACAACTGTATTGTGGCTACTGTATTTAGGTGTGTATCAAGTGGGAAGGGAAGGGGGAATGGGGACTCAGGGGAAATCGCCAAGCCATTACGACTATATAGCACTGGGAAGGAGTCAGTATAAGGATTTGGGATGGGACGGTGGGAAAGGAATGGTGCCCAACCACTTATGGACAGTCGGGGATTGAACGCCGACCTGCATGAAGCGAGACCGTCAAAAGGGCCACAAGCAGTTTTACAACAAGTCTATATGACTTTTACTGCATTGTTGTATCACACAATTTATATATAGGAAGATATACAATATACAAGGTGGATTAGTATTGTTTTGGGCGCTTATCTGGCGTGACAGCTCGGTGTATGCTGTTTCAAAAGCCTTTTAATAATGTATCATGATCTTGATCAAGAGTCGGCTGCCAGGTGCATGCAATCAGCTTGTCCCTCAAGCATTTGCATATTGTATTATCAACATCAATGTGCTTGGCTGTTGGCAAGCTTAGTGTAGTTCATCCTGGACCTGCGGGGGGGAGGGGGGGGGGGGTGTGGGGTGGGGGGGGGGGAGGTGACAGTGTTGGGAAGAGATTAGAGAAAATGCTGTGAGGTCGACAGTAACGGTGAGTTGGTCGACAGCCACGGAGGAAGGGAGAGTTATCTTGAGGTTATCTTGAGATGATTTTAGGGCTTAGCGTCCCCGGGGCCCGGTCCTCGACCAGGCCTCCTTTTTTTGTTACACATCCCCAGGAAGCAGCCCGTAGCAGCTGTCTAACTCCCAGGTACCTATTTACTGCTAGGTAACAGGGGTATCAGGGTGAAAGAAACTTTGCCCATTTGTTTCCGTCTCCACCGGGGATCGAACCTGGAACGTCAGGACTACGAATACCGAGCGCTGTCCACTCAGATGTCAGGCTTTTGTACCTAAGCAACAGGAGACAACGAGTCAGTGTGAGGGGTGAGGTCTCGGAGTGGCGAGGCGCCACCAGTGGAGTCCCACAAGGAGCAGTTCTTGGACCTATACTGTTTCTGATATATGTAAATGATCTCCCAGAGGGTATAGAATCGTTTCTCTCATTGTTTGCTGATGATGCAAAAATTATGAGGAGGATTAAAACAGAGGAAGATTGTATGAGGCTCCAAGATGACCTAGACAGAAGGAATGGTCCAACAAATGGCTACTAAAGTTCAACCCAAGTAAATGTATCGTAATGAAACTAGGTGGAGAAAATAGGAGGCCAGACACTGAATACCGAATGGGAGATGAAGTTCTTCAGGAAACGGACAGAGAGAAAGATTTAGGAGTTGAAATCACACCAAACCTGTCTCCTGAAGTCAACATCAAAAGAATAACATCGGCGGCGTATGCGAGGCTGGCTAACATCAGAACTGCCTTCAGGAACCTGTGTAAGGAATCTTTCAGAACTTTGTATACCACATATGTAAAGCCAGTCCTAGAGTATGCGGCCCCAGCACGGAGCCCGTACCTTGTCAAACATAAGACAAAGCTTGAAAAAGTTCTGAGGTCTGCCACTAGGCTAGTCCCAGAACTAAGAGGCATGAGTTATGAGGAAAGGCTGAGGGAACTGCACCTCACGACGCTGGAAAACAGAAGAGCTCAGGGAGACATGATCACCACATACAAAATTACCAGGGGGAATTGACAGGAGTAGACAAGAATGGATTATTTAACACGGGTGGTACACGAACAAGGGGACACAGGTGGAAACTGAGTACCCAAATAAGCCACAGGGACGTTAGAAAGAACTTTTTCAGTGTCAAAGTAGTTAACAGGTGGAATGCATTAGGCAGTGATGTGGTGGAGGCTGACTCCATACACAGTTTTAAATGTAGATATGATAGAGCCCAGTAGGCTCAGGAACCTGTACACCTGTTGATTGACGGTTGAGAGGCGGGACCAAAGAGCCAGAGCTCAACCAGCCGACAATCACAACTAGGTGAGCACACCCACAAGACAGTGAGGATGCTGGCCAGCATCTTCACTACTGTTCATCTCACTCCCATCTGGGTTGCCATAGTTACCACTGACATGCTCCAAGACGCCGCCCGACGCACCATAAGGGCCTGTGCCCCCCGTCCTGTCATATTCGACCCTATGCTCCCCTAGCCAGAAGGGTCAGTTTGCGATACTCCTCTCCTCTATACACCTCCCGGGGGTACGCCTCTTGTGCATCACAGCAGAACAAACTTTTTTAAAGAGATGTTCATCTTTGGTTTCCGTTTGTGAAATTCGTGGGAGGCGGGAGGTGGGGGGGGGGGGGTAGGGGGAGGGGGGGGGGGTAGGGGGGGGGCAAGGGGGTGTTTTATTAATGGTGCAGGGAGCCCTCGGAGCAGCAGCCCTGATGCTGTTGTTACTGCTGCTGGTGTTGACGTCCGAACACTTCCGGAACAAGTGCTTCACTGACGAGTATTGTTCGAACCACAACGCTGTAAATGCTTCACCCACGTACTTCAAATAATCGCCAACAGAACCTTAGCACCTAACCTAGCCTAACCTAACCTAGCCTAACCTAGCCTAACCTAACCTAACCTAACCTAACCTAGCCTAACCTAGCCTAACCTAACCTAGCCTAACCTAGCCTAACCTAGCCTAGCCTAACCTAGCCTAACCTAGCCTAACCTATACCAAAATATTCACACTATGCTATTATTCAATAATATTAATTTATATTTATGAAAAGTATTGTTTTGAATGAAGAGCATGTTAAAATTGATGAATGCGTCTTTGGGGGTCGACCGCTGGGTGGAATGGACAGGGCGATTGCGATTGTGGGGGGGGGGGGCAAGTTGAGCTCATCAGAAGCAGCAAAAGTACTTCCCAACAATGAGCAGAGCAGCAGACAGCCTTTTAGTCAAGGTGGATAAGCGGAAAGTGATTGTGTGGACCGACTGCTGTAGTGACTTCAAAGGGTCGTGATGAGACCATCATGGGAAGAGTGAGACTCGCCCGATACTCAACAGAACGACAAGTAAATGCAGTGACATCTAACTCCTTTTTGCTTAGGAGCCAGGTTATAGGTGATCACTGTGAGTGACCTGCAGTGATCGACAGTGACTACAGTGACATCTAACTCCTTTTTGCCTAGAAGCCAGGTTATAGGTGATCACTGTGAGTGACCTGCAGTGATCGACAGTGACATCTAACTCCTTTTTGCTTAGGAGCCAGGTTATAAGTGATCACTGTGAGTGACCTGCAGTGATCGACAGTGACTACAGTGACATCTAACTCCTTTTTGCTTAGGAGCCAGGTTATAAGTGATCACTGTGAGT